TTTAGAATGATGTTTTGATGGTCGATGATGGTAAACCTGAAGGAAAATCTGTCGTTTCAAATTCAAACAATTTGAAATTGCATGTGACACGTGATAACCTTATTGCTGCTCAAAAAGATGACTTCACCTTGCGTAAATGTTTTTCTTCTGCTGTTTCTCCAGAGGTGGCACAGGAGAGAAAAATTGCTTTTTGCATGGAGAATGGAGTGTTGATGCGTAGGTGGTGTCCTGACGATTCGAATGAATCTGAATGGAATGTGTCAAGCCAGATTGTCGTTCCTGCATGTTACAGACAGACTGTACTCTCTCTAGCTCACGACCATGATTTATCCGGGCACTTGGGTATTAAGAAAACATATCACCGAACTTTTGGCCTTGATTAAAGACTGATGTGGCGAAGTACTGTAGAAGGTGTCAGAGCTGTCAATTTTCGGGTAAGCCGAACCAAACTATTCCGCGTGCTCCATTGGTTCCTATACCAGTTTTGGGCAAACCTTTCGAGCATGTTATTGTCGATTGTGTGGGTCCTTTGCCCAAAACAAATGTTGGTAACCAATACTTACTGATAATGATGTGCGCAGCGACGCGTATTCCCGAAGCGATTACACTTAGGAAAATTATGGCGCCCTTAATAATTAAAGCGCTGGTGAAATTATTTTCATTGTTTGGACTGCCCACAGTTGTGCAGACTGACCGAGGTACAAATTTTATGTCAAATCTCTTCGCTCAAGTGTTAAAAACCTTGAACATTTCTCACCGGATTTCGAGTGCATATCACCCAGAAAGCCAAGGAGCCTTAGAACGGTTTCATCAGACCTTAAAGGCTATGCTTCGTAGATACTGTATGGACATAGGTAAGGATTGGGACGAGGGCACACCTTTAGTCTTGTTTGCTATTAGGGAAGCAGTGCAAGATAGTTTAGGATTTAGTCCTGCGGATCTTGTATTTGGTCATTGTGTAAGAGGTCCACTTAAGATGCTCAAAGAGGACATGTTATCTGTAGAGACAAGTGTCAAAACGAACATGCTGGATTATGTCAGCAAATTTCGCGAACGACTGCACAAGGCTTGTTCAGCGGCAAAAGAGGCATTGATGAACGTACAACTGACAATGAATAAATAATTAATGTTTAAATGTTTTGCGCGATTTTAAAGAAGGCAATTAAGTGCTGGTTTTATTGCCAGTGGTCGGTTCTGTTCTTTCTGCACGTTTTTCAGGACCGTACGAAGTGCTGAAAAAATTGAATAATACAGATTACGTGATTCATTCTCCTGACTGCAGAAAGAAATCTTGAGTATGACATGTGAATATGCTGAAGGCGTATCATGCTCGAGAACAGTCATCGAGAGATGTTGCAAAGGTAAAGCAACTTGAAATCACTAATGTACCTGTTACTGTGCTGATTTGCAACGTTACTCCTGATAATGAAGACGATGGAGTGATAATTAGACACACATACCAACAGTGCGCTAGGTCTAAAAACTCTGATATTTTAGCTGACTTAAATTCTCCCTTGTCTCATTTGTCTGATTCTCAGAGGCCTGATATTAAAGAGTTGATTAGTGCCTTTCCTTCACTTTTTCACGATGTTCCTTCTCGTACCACTGTACTTTAACATGATATTGATGTTGGTAATGCTGTCCCGGTGAAACAGCATGCTTACAGAGTTAATACTCTGAAACGCTCTGTGATGAAAACTGAAGTGGAATATTTGCTTAAAAAAATGGGTTGGCGAAGCCGAGCTGTAGCCCATGCAGTTTTCCATGTCTACTAGTAACTAAGAGTGATGGATCCGCTAGATTCTGTACAGATTACTAAAAGGTAAATGCACTGACCATACCCGATTGTTTTCCATTGCCGCGCATTGAAGACTGTGTGAATACCCTTGGTTCAGCAACATTTGTCAATAAATTGGACTACAAGTGGCAAGTGCCTTTAACCGCTCGAGCCTCAGACATTTCTGCGTTTGTAACTCCAGACGACTTCATGCAATATTGCGTAATGGCATTCGGCATGCGCAACGCGCCGGCCACATTACAAAGACTTATTAACATCTACTTGCAGGAGTTTCCAACTGTAATGATTACTTGGATGACCTTGTAATTTACTCTACTGATTGGTCAGAGCACGTTTCAACCGTTCGTGAAGTGTTTGCACACCTTGCGAATGCTTCATTAACGTTACATCTTGCCAAATGTGATTTTGGTCAAGCCACAATCACGTATTTGGGCAGAGAAGTGGGTCAAGGGCAAGTAAGACCTATAGAGGTGTAGCGAATCAACTCAAAGGGTAAATATGAATAATTAATCATAACTAGTTATAATTAATTATAAATATTTAGATCCTCTATAAGCATTAATTTGACCTCTCGGTGTCAACTGTCTGTTAATTCTAAGAACGTTAATTTCCTGGCTAAGGAAAATAACTTTCTTACTGTACAATACAACTCAGAGCATGTAACAAAAATCTGCATGATTAGGGACTCCAGTTATGAGCAAACAATGAACAACGTCAAGTGTGATACAAGTAAGACTTTATTAACTACATAAACACTTAAACTAGTCTAACATACACACACACGCATACAGTTGGTATAGGAAAAGGGTTAAAGCTTAGGGCAGTAAAAAGGAGAGAAATAAGGAATGAAGTTATGGAACCATTTGCATACTCAGCAGATTTACAGCCTGAAGGGAACATCAGATTCTTAGTTCAAACACACCTTTGTAAAAAGGTGCAAATTATACTTAATGTATCAATTAATAAGACTAAGTTGATACTTGCACGTCTCGTCTGTCTGAAAGAGAGGTTTGATGCAATCTGAAGGTTCAAGTTGATCTTTGCTGAAGTTGGTTGATGAAAAAGAACCAGTTTGAGTCAGAGAATCCCGGTGAATGGAAAGTCAAAGCCGAAGCCTGGCGCAAACTTAGGGTGTCCTTAGGAGCGTTCTAGCTCACATCCTCATCTTCTCAGAATCTAACAGAACCGCAGACTGAAGGCGGGTCACTGATGTGAGGCCTTTAAGGCCTGACAAGATTCACGCCTCTCAGGATGAGCTTGTCCAATGAGAAAGGCTGAAATCCCAAGCGGGAG